TTTTTTTTTTTCTTTTTGAATTTTAGCAGTTATATTTATGACAGAAGTTTGATTAATTGCCAACTAAAATTTTACATATAATTTATATGTATATATAAATGCACAAATATATACATAATTTTTTTACCTAACCATTTACCTGTTTATTTAATTGTTTTTTTTTTTTTAGTGGATAGCCTCTTTAGCACCGAATAAATATCACCACTGAAAGTTAAATATATCGCTTTATACATACAGTATTTCTGGAGAAGCACATATTACATTTACAGTCAATTAAACTTCGTTACAATCAGTGAGTATTTTGATGAAGAGAAAAAATTATGATAAACATTGGCAAACTATTACCGAATATGGATGGACTTCACACAACAAAGGAGTCAATTGAAAATAATGAAGTGATGCGAAAAAGCGAATGCTAAACTGAAGAGGCTAAAATAGCGGATTTACTTGCTAAACACATATGGACAGACTGACAAAAGTGGGGAAAATGCATCAACCGATAGGATTTGAAAGCATATGGTTATCCTTTATCCGCTCCTCATTTATGGTATTTTTATGAGCAAAATTTGAAGGACGGATGAAAGGCAATTTGGAAAAAAATTTTTTTCTCACTACTTTTTGATTTTCTCAATTTTAGCTAACGCTTAGTGTGTTCCAGTTTCCAAAATGTACTTCTAACCTGTCCCTTCAGATCCTGAACAACTGAAATACTGCTTTTAACTTTTGTTTATCTGAAATTTTGTCATCACCCTGAACCAGTTGTCTAATCGTTGCCTTCCTTGCTCACTTCAATTAAACTGAAATTATTGAACAAAAGTTGCTTTAAAAAATTTCTACATTTTTTTTTGTCACTGTAAACAAAAACCTACTAAAATCTAAGTATAGGGTTGGAAGAAAAAGAAGAAGGAAAAAAACAACAACCAAAAAATGCATTCATTTATCAAAGTTATTTTATTTTCATGGCATTTTAAGTGGCATTTTTTTTGTTCCTGAAAATTGAAGTGCTTTAATTTTGAGGAACAAAAAAAGCAGTAACGACAACATCAATAACAACAGTGATAATAGGAAAGAAAAGCTGATTATTATACAGAAAAAAAAAAATCAAAAAAGCTAAAAATAATGAAGTATTTGTATCATCAGATTGGTGCCGACCGTTTAGATGTAAACCAAATCGTTGTCCGGAGTAAAAACAAGACTTAAAATGGCAGCAGAAATTGAAAAATCATTGAAAATTAATACATAAATTTTAAAAATCGCTAAAGTGTTTAGAAAATATATTACAGACAATTATTGAACCTCAAAGAGATAATAGAAAGTACTTTCAAGATGACCTCGACTCTTCGAGTACCACGTTTTAGTAAACATCGCAGATGTAAATGAACAGAATTAAATAAATAGACACGAACAGAATTTGTAAGATTTTTAAAAATCTTAGCATAGTGTCATTGTAGTTAAAAATAACAGAAAATTTTAATTTTATTTGAAGCAGTTATTAACTTAATTGATAAAAGATAAAAAACGAATTTTCATACAATAGACTTTTTTTGTTTTTTTTTTTTTTGTTCTTCAAATGAACTGCCTTTTTAGAAACTTTTACTGCTGTCAGTCGATCCTTGAAAAAGGTTATAATTAAAAGACAAAAAAAAAACAACAACAAAAACTTTTTCTTTTAACATTTCGTCAAAAGATCACTACAAATTTCAGTATATCGATTAGTGTTTTACTGAAAAACCAATACACATCATATTACAATCTTACTAAAAAATTTTAATAATTAAAAAAAAGTTCTGATTTTAATAGAAAGAAAAAATTTAACTGCTAAAATTACTAATTTTCTTAAACTAATATTCAAAGTTAGAAACCATAATGAATTAGTGGTGTGAAAAGTAGATTTTCCATCACTTACAAACAGTACATATCAGATACCATAGTGATTAGTCATCGTACTCTACGCAGAATCTTAAAAGATAAAAACCTTGCCAAA